AAAGTTGTTTCCTCTGCTGTCATCGCAGGACTGGCGGTTTACTGGTAAGTCATAAAGCGCCATGACGCGTACGCCCCGCGTCGCGACTGTGGTGCCTTTGAGTCGCATGAATAAAAACATTTGTCATAGTGCCTTCACGGTAACGTTCCAGGTACATCTCAATCGTAGGTGCGCTTAACATTAAAGCAGAACTGACTCCAAGCAAGTTGTTTTTGAGTGACTCAGATCTGGTCACGGTAAGACAAAAATCTCTACATCCCGGAAGAGCTAATGCGCATCCCTTAGATTTTCGAAGCTCGCAAGAACTTCATCACTCCTTACTATAGCGTATGTTGGATTCTTGTCGATAAACCTGGAGATGTTATGGATCGCAGTCAAGCACGACGGATCAATCAAATGGTAGCTTATCAGCCCTTGCGACTTGAAGTTACGAATCACATCGTTTCAGGTTTCAGACTTTGAAAATCTTCCAAATTCAGTCGGCCAGTACTCAACAAAGTTCTGGATGAGAGACTACGAAGATTTTCGAAAGCAATCTGAAGAACTCGATGTGCCCGATGAATTTGTGGAAGAACCGGAAGTTGCCATAGAATTCACCCAGAATGGAAGGTTAGTCCATTCAAAAATCTATGTGCATTAATAGAATTGATCATTGTCGCATTTCAGTGCCCTGGTTCCGGCTAAGACGACATCTGAAGGCAATGAACTGAAGCAATTTCTCGATTGGCCGGAATTTTCATTTTGGAAAGGATTTATCCAACTGGAACACGTGAATGGAGGGTAAGATAGTTCCACATTTTTGTGATAAGAATTCCAAACCGCTTGGAATGATCGGATAAAGACGCAGACAACGCAAAACTGCGGTGCAACTCCACAGCCTAATCCCTGACAAGGGCTGCTGCTTTATCCTGCAAAGCCGGTGCGAGCGTCGCGTGTTAGCATACTAGGGCTCGAACGCCCGCACACGCCTCGCTTATTCGTCCGCCTTCGCCTGGGACCAGCCTTTATTCTTGTCCAAGCACTTTCTGCTGCGGCGCGTAAAAAGGCGCATTTCCGCACCCACATCCACGCTGTTTCTCATTGTGCGGATGATTTGAACATGGTGTTAGAATGTACCCAGGCTGAGTCATATATTTTTTTCACAACTTTGTGCCATCGACGTCTCAGAAGCAGTATTTCAGAAGTGAATACAAAGTAACCCGCTTCTTCTTCACCACCGCCTTCCACGGTGAAGACTTGAACGAATGGTCAAACAGAGCACGACTTCTGAACCAATGGCGAAGCGTTGCTGACAACGTTAGTTCATTCAAATCCATTGAAAATTCGGGTTCTGTACGGTATTTTACAGTACTCCGATCTTGGAGTATCAATTTACGAGGAGGATGCAAAGTTTTTGGACTTGATTGAAACCATGGTGCCGGTCGCTACGCAATCAGCTTTATTCACCTTCATCTCTATGTTCATCGTTGCTGCACTTTTCATCTCTCATCCTCCAACGCTATTCGTCGCCACATTTAGTATCCTCAGCACAAGCTTAGGTAAGTCATTCATGTTCTTTTTCCTCCCCCTTTCATCATTTTTTT